TAGGTGGTCAAGGACCTTCTTCGGTTAAGGGGCTGGCGAAACGTTAGGAAACAAAACTTCAGGACCACGGCCACACAGCCCGGTAGACCCACACCAGCCATCGTTACCGTGAACCTTTCCGGAAGACCTTGGAGCTTCCCAGGACCACAACTGTGAAAACTGACAGCAATATTTCCTGCCACCTTAAGAAAGGAAACACATCAAAGCTATAAATTATACCATTGAAAAACATTAAAGAAATCTGCAACTCCTCCCAACATTCCAGGGAAAAAGCAAGAAAATCCTGCTCTTGGCTACACACCTCCGCCTCTTTATACCAACTCATACTGCAGCTGTCCACTGCAACTCTTCTCCTAGAGAATGTTAAATGCAGCCCCCAGGTACCAAAAATGTACCTCTCCCTATCCTAAAGGATAATATTGCTCTGTGTGTGTATGTGTGTGTACATTGAGAACATTGGGATTTGCCTTTAACAGGTAAAGAATTAACATGTTATCTATGGACCCTTCGGTACTCATTCAGATTCTCTACTGATCTTGGTAAACTAAATTTATTAAATAACACACTGGCTGGGAGTTCTGCAATTATAATCCCAACACTTGTGAAAAGATTAGATTGAGGAAGACTGTCCTCACCTAAGAAATGGGGAAGATGGAGCTACCACGATACACAGAACAGTGTATAAATATGGTAGCAAAGTATAGAATTTAACAAGGCCGGTTCCAGACATGATGCTCCTTGACATGAAGGACACTGGAAAACAGAACTGGGCCAGCAGCTGTATCTTACTATAGCAACAACAGGACAGCACGTTCCACCATACCAAACAGGTTACTGAGATGTTGGGGTTGGCAGGGGAGAGAGAAGGGAGACTCAAATCATGTAGTTTTCAGACCAACCCCCAGCATTTATTTCCTGAGGCAGCCACCATTTTCTATTTATGATATGGTGATTCTTTACCTAATCTTTTTAGATAAGCAAAAGTTGATAAAGACATCACACATAACTAAATGCCATTCATGAATGGATCCAAACTTCTAAAGAATTAGTTCTTTCTCTATAAAAGAGTCAGTTTCAAAGGCAGGCATTCTGTCTCAGCAAAAACTCAGCCAGAAGTAGTGAAAAAACACGAACTGTAGGTTTACAAACATTTTTTTCCTCATATTGGTCTTCATTGTAAAAAATATACTGTTGGTACCATTCCTTGAAACTAAAGGGAGGGCTCCAATTTGTTACGTGTAGCAGTTTCTTTAAGCCAGTGTTTTGCGCTTAATTCTAATAAATTGACTTTTGGGCTGTATTGAAAAAAACAAAGCAATATAGATCTCTAAAGCCTAAAATGACAGTGCCTTAATGTTCAGTCTGATGGTATAAGAGATGGTAGGCCAATAGGATTAAGAAAATGTATGCTTACAGCCTTGCAACACACATACATAACTTGGAAAACAAAGGATGTGTCTATAGATCTCATGGAACCTGGACCGGAGGACTATTTGGAAACTTTGTTCTTTTTGTCTGTCCCCAGTTAGATCAGCTTCTATCTAATGGTCACTCTAACATGACTGAAAGGATTCTTCCATCTAATGGTCACTCTAACATGACTGAAAGGATCCTTCCAGAGTTGGTGGCTTGGAATGGAAAACTGGAAAATACCAGTCTTTTTTCTCCCTCACTTCACCATTAGTACAACCTCATAAACAAGAGGGCCAGCCAAGAAGAATCATGGATTATTTTGCTCTAGTATCTTTCCATTTTCCTTGAGTGTCTACGTACTTTTGTGTGCTGAGTTGATACCTAATCATTGTTCTTCGCTGTTGGTTGTGCCTATTTTGGCTTTGTCAGTTATGAAATCACATATTTTAATTTTACTTGGGTTTTTTATGTACATAACTGTTCACATGAGAAGTCTACTTAGCGGTGCAGTATTGGAAGAGGACAGAATTCATAGATGAAGGCAAGTAACAGAACAGAGTTTTTTTAATGAGTTTGCCTCCAATGGTACATTGCTTCTACAAGTGGAGGCACATGAGCAATGAAATATTCAAGAGAAGTGGACGCAGGGCACTTTGCTACATCTCAGAGGATTTTTTAGTGTACTTCTCCAATGTGCACTGTCAACATTTGGGAAGGTAAAATGTTTTGGCTCATCAAGTTTTTATTAGGAGTTGGAGCTGCATTCCACTATGCTGAGCAGTTTAATATATTCATTTAAGTATATGTATTTCATTACATATAATATCATATGAAGAATCATCATTGCCTTTCATCTAAAAAAATCCTTTCCCAACTTCATGCCTCCAAAGAGTTTGGTTGGGAATTCTAGGAATTGTAAGCTGCCATATATAGAGACCACCAGATTGGAGAAGAATGGCCTACAAAGTCACCCTGGATGCAAGTCACAGAATCTTGTCAGGAAAAGATCAGAGAACAATGTCACCAAGCAGGATGTCCGCCAAGTGAAAAGAAAATTTAGCACATTTGATTTGCATCTATCCTATCCATATTGCAGGTAGACATTATAACATGTTTTAAAATAATCTGCAAAACACTCTTTCATATTTCATTATGGAGAGTATTGGGCATTTTTCAAAATGGAATTATATACATTTCTTCAAGAGGAACACAACTGTGCCACAGAATGAAGTATTTCTGCCACTATCCTCCCCAAGTAACCATTCATAAATCAATACAGATTTTTCAAATTAACTTATTAGATGGGATAAATGACCTGAAGGGAAAACTGACAGAAACACAACTTCTGTCTTTTTTATGGCTGTTCAATAATCAACCACAAACTCTGTTGTTGCAGTGAATGATTCATAACAGCTGACCCTAGGCAACATGTGCAGCTCAGCAAATTACAGTGAAACATGTGATATCACAGTCTCTGAACAGATCCAAATTATTTTAAAAACTCACACAGGACATTCTTGCATTTTTAAAAAATAACAATTATTAGGAATTTTTTGCATGTTTAGATTTCATGTATGTCAGAAAGTTTGTACGTGCAAAGCTAGCATATAAAAGCAAGAAGTCGCTTCTTCAGTTTGTTATGCCAAATGTTTTTCACACAGAGAAGAATGTCAACATATGCCCCTTCCACATTTGTTCTGATGTGATGCAGTCAGAAAGAACTTTCTATATGCTTCTGAATGCTTATAACACATACAGTTAATATCTCTCATAACACTTGCAATGTAATATTCTTAGAAATTGAAAGTCCACACGTATTAGCTGCACATTATCAACAGTGTGCTAAACAATGTTTACACTGCCCTTCAGTGGTATTCCCAAGATAATTTACAAAGAAATGGGAGACCTTACTGCTACAAAGGAGTCATTTGCATCAGAACGATCTGCTGAACATTCTGCTGCAAATGAGCAGCAACAATAACAGAGTTCCCTTCTGCAGGCTGGATAGGTCTCTCATTCCAGCAGGTTCACGGACAGGATTGGTCAACCAACAGCATTCAATTTCTCATTTTAACTCCCTATGTTGACACAGCCCAGCCATTTTATACACTGCCTTGAGGTGTACAAATAATAAAAAGATGGGACATAAATCTAATAAATAATGAAAAAACCAAATAAATAAATGTATGTCACAGTGTTTCAAGGACAAACAGACTCTGGGTAAGGCCATGAAATCATCAGGAATCAAATTCAGCTCAAAGAAGACTAACTTTGCAGTCCACTTTAAGTACCCAGATACAACAAATCCAAATTAGGGTTCCAAAATGATACATAAAAGGCCAGATAAAAATCTAGCTAGAATTATTTCTTTTAGAAATCTTGCAAGTTTTACACCAAACTTACACTTTTTGAAAGGCTGACTGCTTTATTCACTTCACTTCTATGATTTTTTTTATCACAGGATTCATATGTAAACACTGTGCTTACTTTCTTAGTTCCTTTTTTGCAAGGACATTTCATATAGAGTTTAATAGATGCATTTAATTATATATTTCATTATATGGCTTGACTGCAAAAGTCTTGACAACTACTTGATGGCATCAAAAAAAGCTGTTTCTTAATTGCTTTCCTACTACCTAGTAGTTATCCAGATTTATGCAGCACCGAGGCCCTAACTTTTAAAATTCATGAATTAAACCAATAAATTAGCACACTGGATCAGGCCCATATTTGCGTCCCTTTTCCCTCTTCACTCTTCTGCTATTACAATGGCTATGTGAGATGAGAAAATCACCATGCTTCTCTATTATGGTATTTCCATATTGGAAATATTGAGAAATATGGGACCAGCTGGATTCCTTCCCATCATTAAAGTAATTCAGAGCCTATAATGCCATGGCAATCCAGGATCTTTTTTCTGCCTAGAATTCTGAGTTTTCATACAATATACAATGTGGCTTGTATGTGGCCTATCATGTTATATCACCACAACCAGAACATTCTGTATAGCAACATTTACAGATAAGTGTGTTAAAAAAACTAAGACAACCAAGGCTCATTCATTTCTTTTTTAGATGTACGTTTCATCTTTCCTTCAGGAGCTCAAGGTGGCATACGTAACACTTCCTCTTCCAGATACCTTGGCCAGCCATCCTTCACCGGGAAGAGACGTGGCACTGCTTTCCTGGAACTGAATTTCTGACAAAGGAAGCTGCCAAAGCAAAGAAAGGACAAGGGCGAGGCTGCACTTCTGTTATCATCCCAACATGATCATGTATGAAGCCACCCCTCTTCCTTCCCTATTAAACAATGACCCAGAAGCTTACAGCACCTCTGTTATCTGCTGTTCAGACCACCTCATTTCAGTTTATGACTGCAGCAGGAATGCAGTGCTAAATTCACAGCTGAGTGGCTAGATTCACACCACAGAACTAATCTTGTTTTAAACAATAAACCACAATTAAGCAAACATAAGGCCATACAATGTGCAAATATAGCCATACTTCATGTGTTAGGGCTGTAGTCCTGTTCAGTGTTACCTCGGAATAAACTGATGCATACATTGAATCACATCAATTTGGCAAGTCTATCACACTAAGCTTAAGAAAATCTCTTCAGCAAGAGCAAGAAAAAATGTGATCTTTAGGGATTTTTTTATTATAAATGCAAACAATCCTGCAAATAAGCATTATTATTTAAACTACCAAAGCAGGAAAAGAAAATCTGTGGCCTACCAGATATTCCTGAATTATAACTCTAAGGCTGTGTTTACATATAATCAGTTTAATAATTATTTATTGAATAAAAGACAATTAGCTGGGTTTTGCAACACACTAAACTATTAACCATAGTTTACAAATCACAATGTCTGGGTTCATACAACATACTAAGCCACAAACAGAAAGATTCTATTGTGCTTTAACCCAGCCTTAGTCTCCTGCAACATTGTTGTGCTGGCTGGAAATTTGAGGATGCCAAATCTCAGCTGAAGAGCACCAGGTTGTGGAAGAAAGGTTGCTCTAAACTAATAATTTCTCCAAAACAGTCTTTTTATTGCTCCATCTGTTTATGAAATTAGGGAAGACAAAGCTATAGCAAATAAGTAAAACTGTATGCTAGGTAAGGATTTCCTCATCACATTGTGGCGGCTCCAAATGAAACTACAGCACAATGGAGACTTTTCAGTAAAATTCTGCCTTAAAGCAACTCTAGGGAGTATATGTAATTCTCTTCCCCTCTGCCTCGTCTCTCTCAGTTAAGGCAGCAAAATACATGGGACTCTAGAAACTGAGCCAAACTGATCAACCATCAAGATTTGTAGATGACTGGGCATTTGAACTAGGGTCACTGCAGCACATGGTCTCTATCCTTGGGTTTGTATGACATGAGCAAGCAGAAAGTAGAAACTGTTTTAACCCACCATGGTTAGGTTGTGGTTGTGTTTCCTGAGATCCCAGGAATCTGCATTAAACTAACCATGGAAAGTTAACCATGAATAAGCAAGTCATGCAAGCACTTTGGGGCTCCTAAATATGGAAAACCTAAAAATAGGGGGGTTGGGACTGGAGGGTAAGGCTGCCTTCTGGATGGGGTTGGCTTAATTCCTTTGGAAATCAAACCTGGCACCTCCAGCAGCAAATGCTGACCAAGAGCATATAATTCGCATGCGGACTTCTTGAAGAATTTGGAACAGCACTGCCAACTCTTTTCCGGCGGCCTCCGAGATTTAAGGAAAACCCGAAATGCAGCCGGCGAAAGCGTGACTGTGAAGGGCCGAAATTCCCAAACCGGCCATCAGCTCAGCCCCAGAGAGCGGGCTTTGCTTTGGCTCTGGTGCCATCGGAGTCGCAGCCTTGCGGGCCAGGCTATTCGCTTAGGAGACAATGTTACTTTCGAGCACCAGAGCTCCTAATCATATTTCCCAACCAATGAATTCCCGGCGAGGTCGGCATAAAGAAGCTTACGAGCGATTCGCCAACATTCCACTTCCTCTCCGCTTTGCCCGCTGCAAAAAATCTGCACGCCGAACTCGCTCAACCTCGCTGCGCGACGTCATCTATGGGCGGTCTTTTGTGTCGCCCTCGCCCTCTGCACTCTGGGGGGGAAAAAAGATTTGCAACAGGGGAAAGCGCGTTCCTGGAGAGCTGCCGGGCGGTGACATCCTGCTCCAGACTTTCGCTTGACTTTCGTTCCTAGCTGAGGCTCGGTCCTTTCCGATCGGTTTCGGGAGCGGAGGGCTCCGAGGCGCTGCTCCGAACTTGCCCGGAGCGGTCAGCCGTTTTGCACAAGCTGGCAGAAAAACTCCACATCCAGCCGGAGCAACGCCAGTAAGTTACTTTCTGGCTGGCTCCTTGAGCCGGGTGTAGCCTGTGCCGGTGGGTTAGGTGTGACGGAAGACGTCGCAGCAGAGGAGGTGGCAGCCGAGCTCGCCAGGGGCCGAGGCAGATTTGAGCCTTAGCATCCAAACCAGAGCTGGCGAAACGCGAGGTGTCCCGGCATGCCAAGAGCCGCGGCAGCGAAAAGTTAGCTTGCAAATTCCCTGAGCGCGGCTGGAGAGGTGTGCATCAGCAGCCTGTCCCATCTGGGGGCGGCTCCGGTATCTGGGACCCAAGTGACGTGCTCGCGACGCCCTCCGGAACATTTGAAGGAACGCGGGGCTGGGAAGGTTGGAATAGGGGTATGTCCAAGAAGCGTAATGGCGAGGGTGGAAAAGAGGAGATTTCTCTGCTTCAGCTCCTTCACTGGGTTTTGGCAGAAAGATAACAAGATACAGCGTTAGGCCATGAAAAGAAAAAGAAGTTCCTGAAGTCGCCGGCATAATCTAAGCACTCATTTTGAAACCATGCGTCTGGGGGAAAGGGAAATCTGTTATGATTCACTGAAGCGTGTTTTGAGTTAGGCTGGGTCGGGCCATGTCTGACATGGACAGCTTTGGAGAAACACGCTAGGGGGGGAAAAAGAGACATTTGAATGATTTCATCTGGTTTTCCACTTAGAGAGTAGGCTGGACTCCTTTTCCTTTGGGAGTGGCTTAGTAGGCCTAGATCACTGCGTGGGCCATGAATGAATATCGGTGCACTTAGCAAACACAGGCAAGCAGTTGGAAAAAGTTTGACTTGTTTATAGCACAATTCTGTACAGCTTTAAGCGAAGGAAAGCTCCATTGGAGTTCAGAGAAAAAGACTTAGGTTTCATTGAACCTGCTTCCAGGTAAACAAATTCACTTGATTTCAGAGACTTCCTGTGCAAGTAGACACTACAAGCTTGTACTATAATCAAGTTAAACTTTTCCAATGGGCTAGTCCCAGGGAGATCATGATAGGTTTGGGATTCAGTTTGGGATGGCTGTGAAAAATTTGGAAGCAGGATTGCTAAAAACAAAACTGGCCACCAAGCAGTAGTTTTATTTTGCATGCCAGCCTGTCTCCTGATAAAACTGAACAATAACCATTCTGCCCTGATGCACGGACCACAGCAGTTAAGAAAGTGGAAATGAATTGTGTAGGATACCAAACCTGTAGCTTAGAGAAATGCAAGCAACACAGGAAGGTTGAATATGAATAGAAATATAAAAAATTGCTTCATGGGACGAAAAGCCCATAATATAAAGCAGGGTATGCTTCAGCTATAACAAAAGAATTGCCCAAGGTATCATCTGAGGCTGCTCGTTGCTGCGGCAGTAATGCCAGCTTTATTATGCGGCTGCCCCCTGAAGCCTCTGATTGCAAAAGACTGTCAAATAGCGATGGGGGTGGCTGGCCCTTGATTGGGTTTGTATTTCATTTTTCAGTTTGCTCTTCCTGAGCCAGCACACAAACTGAAATATCGTTTATGCATTTGCTAGCATATCAGCATTTTTCTGAATTTGGTGGTAACATTTTAACAGTTTGCACGCATTAGGGGAAAATGGACAAAGAAATAAAATACAGTAGGGAAGCTTGCTTGCAGAAATGTGCACCGTATGTAAAGTGGGTATAAAATGTACATATCTGAACTCCATTGTAAACAGTTTGGGCAGTTCCTTATAGACAAGACATATTTGGATCATATTGGACTTGATGTCTCTTTGGGCACTACTACTATACTGCACCATCTAATAACATCCCTCTGAAGTGGTTTTGTTTTTTACTTACTGAAGAAGTACATGTTAGATGCCTCCCCAGTTTGTCTTATGCCTTCAGCGAAGATGACCAGTGATCACTCAAGTAATTAAAGGAGGTGGTGATGAGGACCTTGCTTTAGAAGTCATATTCAGGCCAAACTAGTTGTGACAACCAGCATCTTGTTTCCAGCATTCCATGTTTAGCCAAGCTGTAGAGGAGGTGGTGAAGCTATAGCTCCTAGTATAATGGGTGATATAAGCAATTCCTAGGCCATTGTGTAAAGATGCATCTGCCCCCTTGAAAGTCATCAGGTGCCACAGCAAGTATCCATTCATTCAGAAGGATAGGAAAAAGAACTCACAAATTTAAATCACCGGGAGTATAAAAGGCATTTATATATTTTGTGTGGCATGGGCAATCGACTGTTGTGTATGGTCTCATTTGTGTCTGCAGTAAAGATTCTAATCTTGCTAAGCCATGTCTGTGAGTTTTCTGCCAAGTCAAGCCAAATAATTGAGCTAAACCATGAATTGTCAGGAGATTTGTGATTTACTGCTGAGCCTAATCCAGGAAAGCCAGTTATCAGGAGCTCTTAGGTGAAATTGCTTATTTTGCTCCTTTCTAGCGTGGTTCAAACCTGGATTTGGCATGTAAATGGCCTTGGTCGCCCTAACTGATGAGGTCATCACTGGGAAAAAGATAAGGGAGTAGAACCCTGTCGGCACTCCTGGATCTCATGGCAAGATCTTGTTGCAGCATTCAGGGAATTTAAGGCTGTGTTTTGTGGTGGTTCCCAGCTATTTCTCTGGGTGCTGTCAGACCACCTTGGGAAATTTCCTGAGAGTCTTGCAGGGGCTTTCATGTTATTTAACATCTATATGACTCCACTGGGAATAATAATCCACGGGTTTGGAACTGTCATCAGTATGATGATACTCAGCTACGCTTCTCTCATGTGTTTCCGTGGTTGGATGTTTCCAGAGCCTCCATGTGTCCAGGCTGTAAAGGACTGGATATGGGAAAATAGTTAGGCAAAGCTGAATTCAAACAGGGTAGAATTGTTACTGATTCCATGGAGATATCCAGACCTTCTGGTGAGGTTGCATTCCCTATTAAGGAGCATATTCACAATCTGGTGTCCTCTTGGATCCAAGATGATACTGGACAGCCACTTAATATTAGTGGCAAGGATACACATGTAACATAAATGCTGGACAAGTACAAATCTGTGACAAGTTTGAACTGAGAAATCAAATGTGTCCTTACATGAAAGAGGCAGACTGAGTTTAGTGATTCATAAAATGGTAACCTGAAGGCTGGATTATTGTAATACATGTTATGTGAGGTAACCCTCGAAGATGTCTGAAAATTGGAACTGGCCCAGAAAATTAGAAGCAGAGTAAAATTGAATTTGATAGATTCTCCCATTTCTGTTTTTCTTCTGGCCAGACTGATGTGCCTTTGTTAGTTAACTATTTAACTATTCAGATAGTTAAAATATGAATACATATTAACTATGTTTAGATTTGGATATTAGTATTTGAGATTGATTTATTGTACTTGGCTTTGATCAATATTGTATTTATTATTTAGGGTTAAATGTTAGGTCTGTGCTAAGCTCTTATGGGGTGATTTGATGGGAAGAAAATTCAGTCAAATCACTCTATTGAAGCAGATCGATAAAGTAATGTTTTGACTTACCAAATAAGAGCTTTTGCATAACTTCTCTTCAGCCACTTTTCTACTGCTTCAGACATCTTCTGCCTATAGGCAAGGCAGGCACCGAAGCAACTTACTTACTTACTTATTTATTTATTTATTATTAAATTTGTATGCTGCCCATCTCCCCACAACTTGTCTTGAAGCAAAGCATGCCAGGGAGAATTGAACCTACCTTGACGTTTATAAGGTAGACTGTCTTCCTTCTACACTTTATTGTGCATCCTGAAATGGATTACATTCATTTTATACATATGTGTTAGGTGTAGTTTGTTCTGTAAATTGCATTAAGAGGATTTATACCCTTAAAGATGGGTTAAATTTGTTTTAAATAAAATTCATTTCTATTTATTGTGCAGGAATCAGGACACAGAAATGTCTCACTCTTCTTTCTCTCATACACATAGCAAAAAAAAAAGCAGAGCTCTGGGTAAAATGCTGGCTAGTAAGAAATATGATGGTGTCTCTTTTGTTTATACAGATCTAAATCTTACTGATAGCTGGGAATACAGTGGTACCTCGGTTCACGAACTTAATTCGTTCCGCGACTCTGGTCATGACCCGAATTGGTCGCAACCTGAATCAATTTTTCCCATAAGGTTCAATGTAAATACGGTTAATCCGTTCTGACCCCTCCGAATTTGGTTG